GAGGGGGGGGGGAGGGGGAGGGGGGGGAGGGGGGGGGGGGGGGGGGGGGGGGGGGGGTGATGCTGCGCACAGGGGAGGGGAGAAAGAGAGACAGGGAGTCCACACAGTACAGTGTCTTCACAGCGCTCAGCGGATACACATCGAAAGCAGGACTACTCTCGACTCCTCAGCATTGAGGTGAGTGGGGAAATTAACTAGACTTATCTAATGTTCGCGTTTAATTAAACAGAAATGCACTGCATATGCGTGCGCTACTTGACCCCTACAGACTGTGTGCTAATGCCGTAGATGGATGGATGCGCGGATGGATGATGCCTGGCAAAATTGGTCCGGGTACTTTTTTTAAACTATTAAGCTACATATAAGTGATGTTTACCATAGCAAAACATTTGTATGATGTTATTTCTACGTGTTTAATGTTTATGGTTCATGTAGGCAGCTTCCTGTTTTTCAGAGCGCGTAAGTTTTAAAAGGCTCGTTGTAATACTGCATACTTATTTTTGTTTTTAATGCTTAAGGTAATATTCGAGTTTAAAATGTTACTACTATTTCTTGAGGGAAGATGAAGTATTGTAGCTGCCGTTTAAGCTGCAAAACCTGCTGTGAAAATGTTTACATTTTTTGTTTCCATCTATCCATTTACCTTGCCACAATAATAGCTTTTTCGTGGTTTTCATCAGTGAATTATTTTAGTAAAAAGTGCACTGACCGCATCACTGCAGGTTGTGATTTGATGATTTTACTTCATGATTTAAGGTAGCAATTAAACTTAATTTTTCAGTTTTAGTGGGTTGAAATTTTATGCATTGTGCTCACTGTTCATCTGTTGTGTGGCATGTCAGAAAGCGATGTACTTAGTTATTTACATTTCAAGGCCTTTTTTTCAGAGATAACACTGAACAATAATTGTATTGTTCAGCATGTATATGCAACATCTATTTTTGTCAGTACTTATGTGACAGAGACTCTCTATGCTGCTTTGTTGAACCTTGTTACCATATTTTCACCGTATTTTAGTGTCAGGCCTGTTAAAACTGAGATGCAAACTTTAATATTTGTAAGATTTGCCTATACATAGATGTGGACATGAACTGACCAGATCCAGAAAATCAATGCAAGATAATATTTTTTTCTCTCCTTTGTTATGTTACAAAATGTAACAATATATATTAAATATATAAAAAAAATGACTAGACATCACTCTTTGTGAGTGCAGACCCTATAAAATTTTTTTAAGAAATTCCTTATCCAGTAATCAAGGATGACTGAAAAAGTAATGGAGAAGTCATGGAAATTCAATGATCAAAAGGTGTGGGAGCATGTTCAGACTGTAGCTCTGTTTGAGTCCTTTTATGTCAGGCACCTGTAGATTTCTGGGTGGATTGATTAAAGTTGTTCTACATTATGTAAATTATTCATAAATTCAGGACTTCTCCTTCAGAATTTATTCTGATGAAGAACCACAATAGTTGCAAGTATTTCTAAAATGGGAGATGGTATTTTAATTTGTCAATGTTATTATTTTGTCATACGAATACAAAACGATATTAATGTTTGTTCTTTCCAATCTTTGTGGCGATGCAGTTTTTAATCCTATAAATTGCTGGATTTGACACACTGTAATATATATTTTAGTCTTGCGAATATTGGTTGAGCAACTGTGGTCTTCAGTATATGGATTGTTTTGTAGTGTTCGGCTTGGACTTTGATTGGATTTTAGGCCATACACGTAACAAACAGTAGACCTCTTAGATATGATCCTTTTTGATAATGCTGATGTTAGGAATATTTTTTTCAGAAATGATAAAGAAACTGATAGATGGGTTTATTCAAATTGATGTTAGTTAATAGTATACTGGATGCAAATATATGACATTTTCAGTTATCCTTTTAAAGGAATAACACTTTATGTGGTTCTCTGTGGATGTATAATGGATTCTGAACAGTTGGGTGTTCACTTAAGACTCGAAGAACCCGGATACATAATTTCTAAAGGAAGATTTGACGCAAAACATGGATTTTCAACAGAAGGAAATGTAGCTGCCTACCACATACAGCATGTTTTGTTTTGTTTTTTCATTTTAAAACTTATCATTTAAATGTTAGCATATTGATAAATAATATGTCACCTAATAATCAAAGGGTTAGAAAATACTTGCAATTCTGTTTGGGTTCAGAATAGTTTGCCAAAGTCTACGTGATAGTGAGGCCACATGACCTTTGACTTGCTGAAATTCTTTGACAGCAAGCCACATCACAATTGAATGGAGAATAACGTGCTTGTTTGTTGTTGTTTTATCGCGGGCATTTTAATTAAATCTGAGAGTCTGTCTGAGAGGTTTTTTATTTATTTAAAAACACACACAAAAAAAAGCATTTTAGTGTCAGTTGTCATGTTGCTTTTAAACAAACAGATTTTAAAATATGATGTTTTAGCAAACAATAGACTTTCTCTTTTTATCAAAAGTTTCACACTTTGACAGTTTTAATAGTTTGAGAGTACTCAGATTGTGAGGATGCCTGCATGCAAATGTTTCAGTAGGCTCTGTATGATAATTAGATCAGAGCTATCTGTCACCTGACATGACAATGGCCCAGCAAAAGCTGTGTTTGCTCGCAGAAGATGAAGCACGATAACATTGATTAGCACATGCACGTGATTAATTTCACCCAAGAGTGATTTATGGAGCTCCATCTTGCTTTTACCTCAATAATGGAGCCCCTCATAAATATCGCCCAAAATTAAGCACTTTCAGACAACTGAACTGCAAAATAACATGATCAAGAAAAGTGCGACTGGAGTTTAAACCTATTTTTCCAAGATATGGGTAATTTGCTGTTCTGATGTGTAGAACACTTCCAAAATCAATAGAACAGTGTTTATCTACACCCGCTTTAGTCCAATACGAGGAGATTGATTTTCTTTACCAATTCATCGTCCGCTATCTGTTTTCAGTTTCCTGGCTTGTTCGTGTTCGTTCTTGTTGTTTACTAATTCGTACGGATGGGGATGGAGGGAGGCGAAAGTGTCTCCAGTGAATCTTTAAAAGGGCCCACAAAGGAAAATACGTTCTCCACGGTTTCTGTCTATGATAATAAGTTTACTTCTTAAAGCAGGGTGTTGTTATTTTCTTTCATCCACACGTCCCTATAGGAAATAGCCTTGGTATATGAAAGCTCTGGACATCCTCCATAGCATACTCCTCACATCGTGCACTGTGTAAAATGGCAGGGCAGATCACAGAGAGTTCGAGTTGGAGGGAATTTGGGGGGGAAAATAGCATTGATGATGAAAAACAAACTTGAAACAGAATTCGCTATGCACAATGAATATTTCTACCATTCAGGCTGGTGCTTTAGAATAAATAAGGATCGTTTGCTCTTTTTGTGCCGAGTGCAGTGTGAAATAAGAATGCTGATGACAGAGACACCGTGCTGGCAGTCCTGCCATGGCTGCGTTTATGTAAGATGATTTATTCAGTCAGCACATGACTGCTCTGACCTGTGACTCCCCTCCATCTTAATCACTGTGACCCTGGTGAATCAGGTAAACTTCAGTTCAACTTCAAGTCTTCTGAGCATGTACAGTTAGTCAAAAGTATGGGGTGCGGTTTGAATCAAACGTGCATATGGTTCCTTTAGTCATCGATGGTGGGATTTTAAAACATTTACTTTCATAAAAGATTCACTGTAAACAAATCTGTGAAATGGCAACATTTTATGTTATAGAGAAAAAAACTTAATAATAATATACTAACAACCACCTTCAGTTGGTAAAGAGAAACCACATGATGAATCAGAGTTCATCACAAGTACCTTTTTCACAAGCTGAGGTAAATACTAAAACATAGAAGGTGCACAGAGTCAAAGTTTAAAGTTTATCCACAAAATTACACAAATACACAAGATACATCAAACTGAGCACAACTGCCAAGTAACAACAGGACACAAAACTAAAACTTTAATTTAAAAGTCCAAAATGGGGAATATGTGACAGCAGCACACGACACTTAAAAAAATGCAATAATCATTAATTTACTAAGTAAGACACATAGTTATTTTAATGATTAACCATCAAAAGGGAAGTGTCATAAACATTCTGAATGTCAATTTTTACATTTTTAATTGTAAATTATAAGATTGCTTGTTCTTTTTCACTTCTTAAAACTATACTTTTTACATTACATCAGTTTTTCACCATACTTACTATAGAGTAAGGGAACTTACTGTCAATCAATTAATAGTTTTTTTTTACTATAGCATTTTTACAGTCATTTACCTATGAAATTACTTTCATTTTTAGTCTTGCCATTAGCACAGAAACACAGCTCGAATCTGTTTTCACGAGAATGGAGAGCCTTTAATCGGAAATCCTCCTCAAAGTTTTTGATTCGTGTTTGAAGTGACTTTTGATTCATGTTTGCAGTGACTTGCTCAGCTCGGCTGTCTCTGCTGATGTGATCTGCTCTGGCTGGTAGAATGTCGAAGCCGAGTTCTCCACCCATGTACGCAGGGATACATGAGTCCTCTCGATCAGTTTTTTTATCTCTAACTGTCTCCAGATGTCCACCATGTTACACTAGGAGAGAACAAGTCCCAGTTGCATGGAAATTTGTGTGTGGCTAATTATCTGGTGGCTGGTGTTTTACATACAGCCCACTGAACTCTAGCTCTCATGTATCTCCTTCAGCATAGCCTCTTGTAATACAGTCTAGATTTGCATAACTGAGGAGCTTCCTCCCTTTGGAAGTTGAAACTGTGTCCACAATATATGGCGGCACCTAATTACTCACCAGAGCTGGGTTATCAAAAATTGGCTATCTGCGCAGGCAGCATCTAATCATGTAGTCCACTTTCAGGCACAATATTAGGCCTAATGTCATTAATGTTCCTCTCAGTTGTCATGGTTCTTTCAATTGATTGCTTTCTCCTATTACGTACGAGTCAGACCAAAATGAGGCAGAATGTGTTACAGCTCTCCAATTTTCGAACCTGCCCTGGATGTGTGTGATATGAATTACACCAGCACCGAAAATGTCCATTCTGTTGAGGAATCACGGTTGTCTCAAACCTAGATTGGTCAGACAATCTAGCCTGGATATTTTCCGCCGGTGACATCTCGCACGAAACTGCAATACTGATATATTTACCCTTGAAAGAACAAACTATCATACAAG